CCGGAAGGGGGGTGCCGGGTGGTGGGTGGTTTCGCTATTCGAACACCTTTACACCCTTTTGGGGGGGGGAGTGTTCACTATTTTCTGGGGCCTTCTGGAGGCATTTTTATTCCCTTTAATTTTTTTCTTCTTCAAACTAATACTTTATTACTGAAGCGTATCGGCTTTTCTAAGTCCCTGTCGACATTATCCCTGATTTTTTGTCCGTCGCCAATAAATGTACACGACGCCTTTTTTCCCGGCTGAATAGGTTTTGCCCATTAGAGACCCTATACAAATAATCAATAGGCCCGAATGTCTGAATATAAACAAATAAATTACCCCTATGAACATACGCTTTCGGTCCCTGCGGCTTCTCAGCCGCGTTTGATCACTGAAAGCGTGTAAATATTTTAGCTATTTAAAGAAGTCTCTTCTCAACTTAAATGTGTCACAGATCTGGCCACGCTAAAAGCCAGATTAGGTTAAACGTTTCTCATTACCATTTTAACGCATAGAGACGGGTATTTACAGATGTCCCCTCCTAACTATCACTGATTCAGTTATGCGTTTTCAGGGTTTAGGGGTTCAGGTCCCTCGGTCGCTTGTGACAGGGTTATCATGGTCTCGTCTTGATGGCCGACGCTTGTTAAAGAGCTAAACGCTGACACATCACTTTTATCAAGTCCATCCTGCTGGAGGAAACTTGTTTGTGTAGTTCGGTACTCCTGGGGCTGGGGCGCCATACAGTGTGTATAGACACAGAGATATATAAACAAACCTTGAATGGAAGGGAACAGGGGGTACCATAGAGTTCAGCGAGTATCCTGCAGACGGGTCCAAGGGGACTGTCCAGACTGTCGATGGCGAGTGCCTTACGGTGGGGCGTTCAAACGACTTTCCCGTTTTAGAATTGGGTTCGTGTGATGACGCTGCGGTTATCGCACCCGGCATAGGTGACACGGAGGATCAAATGGCCATTGAGGACGATACAATCGCCGTCTGCAGAGAAGATGATGATTTTGCCAGCTACGTATTTTGTACTCCAGCAGAGGGTGGCCAAATGTGCATTTCTGACGATGAGGGATACGTTTCGCTCCGCCCATGTGCTGAACCATACAAAGCTGTCTTTACGGTACCTAAGGAATCGGAAGATGGTAGCACGTGCGACGAGAACGCCCCTAAGCAAGCCGACACTCTCTATTTCCCATTGGTAATTGACGAGTTCGCTGACCCATCACAGGGCCGCCGCCCCGGTTTCTCTCGCTTGTTTTGTGTGAAGCAGTGCGATATGTGGATTGCCGGTCACACGGCACGGTTTGGAAAGACGTACTGTCTCTCTGACGAGGCACGCGAGAAGTGTTTGACACACGAAACAGACTTCGACTGTCGCAAGCAGAACTTCATCGCCGAAGAGAGCGAGCAGCCCCTGAAGTCATGCTAGTATTGAAGATGCCCAAACCTCCTGCGGGTGCAATGTGTTTACTGGCTACTTCTACGGATTCGAAGTTTGAGGGCAAGTATCTTGCGGCGTGGTATAATCGCGATAGCGAAAGGACTGAATGTTTCACCACATCTGGTGATCAAGATAACTGCGAGGCGTACGAAACTGGGGCAGATTGCGAAGACCAAATTGTTTTTTTCACACCAGATGGTACTTCTCCAGTTAAGGAATGTGTGGAAAACTTGACCTACTACGATTCTGGAGAGTAAATCTTTAGGTTAGTAAAGAGGAAAAATAATTCATTTATGTATATACTCTTTATCTTCAAGAAAAGGAGAAGCGCGTGTTCCTTTTCTTCAACGCTGCAAATAATGATTGGGTTCGATAGAGACGGGTTGGGTAGATTTCTACTTCTAGGATTGTGGACCTCCGATTTTGTCCTGTGAACAGACTTGAATTGTGCTTGGGTTACATAATCGGCGTCTCTGATGGACCTAGAGAAAATCATGTGAGCTGAAGCTACTGGTCGGATTGGTATAACAAGCACTGATCTGCGGTGACTTTTTAAACACATTAGCGTGTTAAGTGACACTCAAGTGCATGAGTGAACATGTTGATTACATGTTCATCACCATCTCACTGAAATCAAACGAACTGTATGTACGTGATTTGGAGAAAGGGAACTCGTGACAGCTTGCCGGAAGTATGCCGAGTACCCATACGCATGTTCAGAATGTTTATTTGCATACTTGGCTGTATTTCATGTGTGATTTGCATGTTTCTATATTTCATGTGTGATGCGCATGTTTCAGAATGCTTATTTGCGTTATTTCACGTGTGATACGCATGTTTCAGAATGTTGATTTGCGTACTTGGGTGTATTTCATGTGTGATGTGCCTTCGCTTTTGAGATGGGTTAGATACACGCCCGCACGTGTGTCTACCAGGTAATCAACCTTCATGGCTGTACAAAATCGACTGTAGCCGTTATGTGGATGTTAACAGATCACCTCGATTCACCTCGATTCACGCTGATCTGAATTTCCTAAACGTGTACAAATGTATCTTTCGTTTCTAAAACGTGTACAAATGCATCTTTCTGCGCATAGCCTGGGTTCCGTGTTCGTCTGTAGTTTTGTTAATTGAAGCGGTAGCTATGACAGATCGTTCATGTGTTGAGTGGCCGTCTTATTTGTATATTAAACTGGAGCTCATAAATATTCTGCGTCTATACCCTTTAGCACTAATTTTCATGTGCCCTGGGCGGAGAGGCGTGTTTGGTACACTCATAGTGCGAGATGCACTTGGGTTTTAGGGTTTAGGTTTTTTAGGGTTTAGGTGTTTTTGAATCGAGAGTCCCTGTGTGCATGTGTGACGTCACCTAACGGTGGAAATTGCCACACCAGCTGCTCTCATGGCACGCGTGTCTCATATACACTCTCTTCTTTGCAGATGACTGGTGGTACGTTATACATACAAAGATATTGGGAATATTTCCTTACAACGGAATATATAGTGATCCAACGAGTCTTACCCTGTGGTACAGATTCAAAGCAGCTATTTCCTGCCGCAGAACACGAGTATACAGTGAATCCGTCATTTTTAATAATTACATCAACTTGCTACTTGACTTGCTATTGCCATACGTTGGCCTTAACGATTTTAATAAAGCCCTACCGATCACCTCATCAAGTGGATTGTACCATGATCAGCTCAGCCCCATACTTGAGACAGATACGTTTGCTTTGAACATTTGTAATACGTTTACGTTAATCATTCGTCTGCAGGTTGAGTAGCCACACCCAAGCGAGTACCCATTTTCACGAGCGTTTCTAAGGGCTTCTTGCTGTTCTCCATCATGTCCCTATCGAACTGCAGTACACGAATGTGGAAGGTTACTACGTGAAATGGTGTCCCTATCGAACTGCAATACATGAATGTGGAAGGTTATAACGTTAAATAGTATCCCTATCGAACTACAATACACGAATGTGGCAGGTTACTATGTGAGCCGGTGGAAGATTCGAATGAGAATTATAGTACCCCGTCATGGGCCACTTGCGATTGCCTCGTAATGCCATACCTTGATTCGGTTGGGCTGGAACAGGATTATCACTGTACTGCCTCCGAAGGCAAAGAAGCCGTGCTCGTCGCCCTTCCGTACCTGTGTGAGTGATTTTTATTAACGATACTCAGGATAAGTAAGTCCTATCTTATACACGAAAACACGACAATACGACAATCGATCAACTGATCAGATGACGAGAGCGAATATGGTTCAACTGAGTAGCTACTGGCTAAGAAACAGGACGTGCTTTGTACTAAACTTTCGATCCGATTTAGATTTGGAGTTTAGGACAACAAATTCAAAAAGTCACGGCAGATAGATATGTGCTGGATGTACCTCACTCAATGGCTCAGCTGTGATGTTGACTGACCCCACCAGCGTTGCTCCTATGCACACGGCCACGACAGTTCCGAATTCTTTTGTGTGGATTTCTTGGCAGACTCTGTTAGGAGGATATATGTAAATGGTAATAGAATACATGTAATTGTTAGAAGAATATATGTAGTTGTTAGGAGAATACATGTAAATGTTAGGAGAGTATATCCAATTGTTAGGAGAATATATATATTTGTAAGGAGAACATATGTAATTGTTAAGAGAATGTATGTAACTGTTAGGAGAATACATGTAATTAATAGGAATATATATGTAAATGTCAGGAGAGTGTTAGGACAATATATGTAATTGTTAGCAGAATATATGTAATTGTGAGGAGAATATATGTAGTTGTTGGGAGAATACATGTATCTGAGGGAGATGCCACATATATAAAATTTTAAAACCCTAAAACCACCCGTCAATGCCTTCACTCGGTTTGTTCAGAGAGTTAAAGCTCAGCTTAGCATACGCGGGGTTTCACAGGTACACTCATCTGAGTGCACACACGAACACTGTTGAGTAATATACACTGCTACGAATGTTAATAAGACACACCACCACCTCAACACTTGGCATTCACTTGGCAGTAGGGTTTCTAGGGTTTTGGAACATTACCTGAGATTCTCTGTGAAGACGTTCACCTTCTGTCGGATAGCAATGGGATTCACTGTGTACAACTGGCCGTCTACTGTGACCTTGCGCCCTAACCTGCCGCTTACCTGAGGACAATAAATAGACAAGACATTGGGTCAAAGATGTCTCTGAAATAGGAACCCTTATAGATTACCTGAGGACAATAAATAAACAAGACATTGGATCAAAGATGTCTCTGAAATAGGAGCCTTTTAGGTTATCTAAGGACAATAAGTAGACAAGACATTGTATCAAAGATGTCTCTGAAATAGAAACCTTTTAGGGTTAACTGAGAACAATAAATAAACAAGACATTGGATCAAAGATGTCCCTGAAATATGAACTCTTTTGGCAGCACTATAGGGCTGGACCATAGCATGAATGAGACCCTCTCTAATATCACTACTGTTTGTAAATGTCCTGGCACAGATAAAGGGGCAATATAAGGGCCTTTTCAAGTGGGTAATGGGTCCAGCATTGTGATACCAATGAGGTGGACAACTTTTGTTGCTCAGCAAAGTGTTTTAAAGCCCTAAACCTAACCCTTGGTTCTGAGACACAAGTCGTTCAATTGTTGTGAAATTATAGTTGCAATACGAGTGAGGTCTTGTGGGAGCATTCACCCACATACCGTAAGATCTTGTGAAATAGGGATTTTAAACCCTAAAACATTCACCCACATACCGGCACGTGCCATCGGTGGTAGTCCTGGGGAGCTAGTCTGGCTATGCACATTGATCCTCCGAAGAACTGTTACAGAATACACAACAAGTAAATGAGATGGCCTGTCATGACTACTGGAAGGGGATCCATGTTCAAGATATGACCTGCAGCGCAGGTGATTGCAATATACAGCAGAGTGTGGTAGGTATACAAGCACCACGAGCAAAGGTATCGTTGCAGTGGGTTAGCAATTGTACCCGTGAAATCATGCTCCTTGGGCTGCAAGGATTAAGCAAAGGTCACCACCAGCCACTGTTCTTGAATTCATTCTACATACAATCAGACAGAGATGAGACAAGACAAGCGCAGGCATTTGTAACAGCGGAAACATGCAGCTACAGAGATTTAAATATATTACCCACTAATGCTTGTACCCTGTCGTGTCAAGGTCACTGCAAGACACACATTACAAATTCAAAAACAACACGGGCTGTTGTGTGAACACAATACATTACATTACATT